TTTCCTGTTATCCCAGCTTAAGTTAGCCCTGACTCCGTTGCACGAAAGCAGGGGCACATTAGTTGCCATGGAGATTTATTCTGTGCACCTAGCCTGCTCTAGACCAGGCTAACAGCCAGGCTTTATTAATCCTGGTGCCTTATCTGTTCAGTCAGTAATCACTCTGAGTGGGAATAAATGTGTTTCACAGTTATTCCCTGGTCCTCTGTATTTTGCCTCATTTTTATTAGCCTGCATTAAAAAAACAAAGATGCAATATGATTCAGTTAAGAATGCCTACTGTTATCTTAATTGTAATGATTATTCACGTGAGTCCTTTTTCGTGTTTGGCAGCATGCTGTTATGAAGACTGCTATTCATATTGCTGACAGAGGTCTGATGAATAATGCAGCTGATGAGATGATTAGAAATAGCTGATGAAGTTGCAAAGGTGGTTTAAATTTAGTCAGTAGTGAGGACATTGTTGATGGCAGACTGGACAGATAGATTGTTAATTATTTTAGTTGACTTTCCATTTGATATAGCCCAACTTTTAATAATAAAGCATGATATTTGTCACTCTTCCATATGTTTGTGTATTTTATTTGCCATTGGTAGCACACAGGTTGTGGTTGTTAGGTTTCATTGTTGCATAACCTTTCAAAATTATTCTCACTTTACTGGACCCAGATACCAAATAGTTAACTGAACATTCATGAAACAGGGAGGACACCAATGGTTTTTGACCTTTTATTCTGCGGTCATCACTTGTCAGCTTGGAGCCTGGGAGAGAATACAACGTGTTACAGCCATGTTTACAGTGCGCATTGAAATCACTTCTCTTTCGAGTTTGAAGATTTATAGGTCCAGTTTTCTGTGTCCTTTTGTAATTTCCTGGTCCAGGCCCAGGTCCTGCAGTTTCTTTTGCATGTTCATTTTCACATCTGTTGGCTCTATTTGTCTTTTGAGGCATTGCGTGTAGAAATTTCTGAGTTTGTGAACTCTGTAAAACACCTATCAATTAGCACCGCAGGAAATGTGTGTAATGTGGTTTTCCCATAGGCAATACTCACTATGTTGCCAGGCTGGCCAACAGGTTGCACAGCATCTGGGTCCTGTAACAAATATATTTTCTATAACCATCACATTTCTCACCTTATAGCCATTATGGACAAAATGAGTATTTCCACAAGATTGACGCAATACCTCAAGCCTTCTGGAGTCCAGCAATGCAGTTTCCTCGTCATCTGCTGCTGCAGAAGTACCTTCTTCCTGCCATACACAACAGAACTTGTATTGACCTAGTGTTGACAGGACATGCCAAGCCTATGCTTTTAATGAATAATACTCACTGGATCATATTCTGGTGGCTCCAGAAGAATGAGTGTTGCCAGACACTGCAAAGTAAACCAAAGTCAGAAAGTCCACATAACAACCATAGACAGTATCTCACAAAAGTGAGTACACCCCTCACACTTCGATGATTAATTTAGTATATCTTTTCAAGGGACAACGTTACAGAAATTAAACCTGAATATATTCTAGATTAGTCATTGTACATTAAGTGTAGCAGTGTAGATTTACTGCACTGTACAAATAACTGAATAAACAGTCACTATTTCCAAAATGGGTGGCAACAAAAGTGAGTACACCTCACCGTCAACATGCCAAATTGAATCATGGAGTTACAAAAGGGCCCAACTCCACCAAGGTATTTTTTTCAGGGGAGCATTTTTTCTGTTTGCTGTTCATGCTATAAAAGGACATTTCAAACAGCCAAGAGTAACATGTTAAGGCCAAACAGAGGTTTATTTAGGCTGAACATGAAGTATACTGCCTGTCACATAAAATAATGGTAGCACTTGAAACATGGCGGAGTTGGGCCCTTTTGTAATTAAACGGACTAAATGAAAGGAGTACAATGGTCAATGATGATCTTGAGAATGACTTCCTTCCCAGCTGGGGTGAAGGAGTTCAAGCAGTCCCGGCAACACCTGCAAAGGGGAGCATTTTGGTAAGAGGTGTCCTGGTTGGCACTATGTCCATACTGTGATGTATCTCCCAAAATCATGGAGATGGGATCTTCGGTAACTCAATGACCAAAGCCACTGTATGCCACTAGTGGGCCATGCATGCATGTAATGTATGTGTACACTGAGGCCTACAGCAATGATGAATGAGTATACCTACAAAATGACTATCACACAAACATGCACATATCTCCTGTTTTTCTTTCATTCTTCACTTCCCCCTTCCTATTTTCATACTCCTTGCCTTCTGCTCTTAGCCTTTTGGACTTATTTGTTTTCCATTCTCTCTCATTTCTCTTCCTTTTTGGTCTTATTTCATCCTCAGAATCAGACATGTGTTGTTCTGTGGGCGCTTCCATGTTTGAACTGGTGCTGCCATCTAGCGGCCACCAGTAAAATTCGTTGAAGAGGGGCCCAACTCCTGGACTTGGGCCGTTCTTCAACTCAAAGCTAAAGAACTCACCTCAGTTAACAGCTTTATGCACTGGAGTTGGGCGGCCGTATTGCCTTTAAAAAAAAAAAAAATGTTATATTCCTCGTATATTTGCATTATAAGTACGTGCTCACTTGGAGAGAAGTACGAGGCACGGGTTCGCTCCCTTTCTGCATCAGTAAATCTGTGATCAACCACGCGGTCCATTGAAGAAAGCCATGAATGCGCACTTATCCGAATTCGTTACACCTGGCTTGACATAGCCGCTCCTCCTCAGCCAGGCTTGGCAAACGTGCAACGGGTTAAACAAGGATGCACTGAGTAGAATAGGTCAAGCCTCGCTCTCGCAATCATCTTCGATTTCTAAATTCTGCTGTCGTGCAACAGCCCCCTGGATTGGTACTTCAGTTGCAGTTTCGTTTGAGAGTCCAGGTTCAATTTTTTTTTTTTTTTTTAGAATAGCGGCCTTGCCAGATGTGCGGTTCAGCTTTCTGCCGCTAGATGTCCTCACCTTCCTTCACGATATCCGGGGCGGTCGGCCGCCCAGCTTGTACAAACTGCGGTTTAACATATCAATGGGAGAAATTTTGTTGTTAGCTTCATCGACTTCTCTATCGTCGTTCGTGTGACAGAGACATCTGATAAGTGAGGTATACATGGATAAAGACTCCAACTATCAAATTCTGGGCAGAAAAATGGGCATTTTGGAGTATTAAATGCATTTCTCCACCGATAAACACCCCCGGGTAGCCCAGGTGCTCTTCCTCTTGACCAAAATCACACCTGCGCATGCGTAAATTAACAGAGATAAGATTCAAGAAACTTTATTGATCCTCGAGGGACAATTTTCAAGGCAAGCAGAGCCAATACGTGTAATCCCAAAACTTCAAAATGGTCAAAAGAATAAATAGCCCAAAGTGGCCCAAGCTGCGATTTAAATCCCCCAGCTTCACCTTTGCAAACACACGATATCACCACTGTGTATGCAAGCCCTGTTTTGATGTGGTCCCCGAAGCCAAGACTCGTGGCTCAATGCACACCAACCACGCTATAGTAAACAGCCAAGTGAATGTGTACACATCGCGCTACACACAGTCTACAGGCTACAGAATATTGCAGATTTCCTGAAGTAAATGGCCTTATTAGTGGTGATTTTGGATAATAAAATGATCTATAGTTCAGTGGCGTAGCCAGCGGGTGTGCCAAAACACGTCCCTTTATGACAGCAGTTAGTCCTGGCTAGTTCTCAATCATTTTCCTTTATTGACTTTATTCCATTTATCGTAATTTGCAACTGAAGACACAGTTTCTTTCCATATGCGATCTAACTGCGATGAAATCATGGGGTAAATTCAGTATAACTGAGAATTGGGGTGGACAAAATATCCGTTTTAAATAATTATTAGTCCTGACCTGTTCTCAGTCATTTTCATAATTAACAAAAGGTTCACTCCGAGAGCACTCCACACTTAACAGGTGTTGCTTGTTCTCCCCGATTAGGTAAGATGACAATCATTCATCTAGACGCGTATTTGATTAATTTAAATCAACGTTATTCAAAATAACCCTCGGTATTGAGTGAAAAAAAGTTGCACTCGGCAGTGAAATAGGCTATAAAAAGCATGCAGCTCAAGCTATTTGCACAGGTATGCAACTTTGAATAACATTGATTTAAATTCAGCAAATAAGCGTCCAGATGAATGATTGTCGTCCTACCTAATCCAGAAGAACAAGCAACACCTGTTAAGTGTGGAGTGCTCTCGGAGTGAACCTTTTATTAATCACAAAAATGACTGAGAACAGGTCAGGACTAATAATTGTTTAAAATGGATGTTTTGTCCACACCATTTCTCAGTTCTATGGAATTTAATCCATGATTTCATCGCTGTTAGATCGCATATGGAGAGAAACCGTGTCTTCCGTTGCCAATTACAATAATAGGAAAATGAGTCAATAAAGGAAAATGATTGAGAACTAGCTAGGACTAATTGCCGTCATAAAGGGACGTGTTTTGGTACACCCGCTGGCTACGCCACTGCTATAGTTAATATCTACTGCAAACAAAGCAATAATATTTTCTGTCCAGGGTGGGATGCACCAAAAATCGGCGTGTTGAAAATATTGTTTGGGCGGAGATGATCGCAAAATGGCGCTGATAGACGGCTTTCGTCATGCGGGGACATGGGAACTTCCAGCATTAAAACCGGGCATATAGATAAGAATCCTTCAGTTTTAAGTCACTTCACATTGACAGCTGTTTTCTCTAATGTATATTTGGTGATCTTACCATGCTGTGCATTTGAAATTATACTAACAATCCAATAAATCCTGGGGGGTTCGCTAATAGACAGTGTTCCTCTATGTATCTGAATGGGATCCGAACAAACAACGATCTGCCGCACGGGTCTGAACTGCCCCAGATACAGAATTAGCGCCATCTGGTGATCGAGGGTATTGCATCTGGCAAGGCCGCTATTCACCATTTCGCACTTCAGCCTGGAATCTGTTGTACTTGACGTGTCATGATTAAAACTGTGGTTTTCAGCTTGGGATCAAAAAGGCAGAAGAGGGATTCGAACCCTCGCTCCCGAAGAGACTGGAGCCTAAATCCGGTGCCTTGGCCCGCTCGGCCATGCTACCTTTGACTATGGAACTAACTACTTCCTTTTGTGGGGGATGTATTTCAAATGTATTGTGGCAAATTGTTTGTGTACATTGCTGGATTCCTAAAATTGTTTTTGATTTAAAGTGTCATGTTCTGTGCTCTTTTACAAAATTTGAGTTTGGTGTGTGTTCATGGATGTTACTGCCATCTGTTATTTCTTTACAGTGTCAATTTTTAGGATTTGTTATGTATGAGTGTTTTATGTTAAGCACTGTATATCATTTGTAAATGGAGATTTGTTACATACTGTTTGTGCTGCCTTACTGGTCAGCTATTTGTTTATTTTGTTCCTCATTTGACACCCTCTGGTGGTATGTCTGTAGAAAAACATGATCTGATGCAATACCACTTCTTTGTGATGAAATAGACTAGTGCTATCTAGTAGTTTCTGGCTTCTTCTTGCCTGGAGGGGGCCGGATCACCCAGGACTCCAGTAGATCTTTCCAGGATGTTCCTAGTCTATATAAATGCTGTGATTTTGTTCAGTGGAGAAGAGTTTTTGTTTTGGCATCAGAGTTACATAGTGGCATTAGAGTGTTATTTTAAGATTACACTGTGGATTATTTGTAGAAATCTTTGGACCTAATCAGTGAAGAATAAATTTGTTTAAGTTGTCATTGTTGGTTTTCTTTGTTGTGATTTTTAAGTCATAACAAATTGGAGGTTCCACCGAGATAAGCCATTCATTGGATCAACCATTGGATTCACCAAAGATTAAAGGTGAACTATTATTTTAAATCTTGTGACTATTTGAAAAACCAGCAATCATGACTTTTGATGTTGAAAGTTTTTTGAAAACTCCAACCCAGGAATCAATTGTGCTGGCAAAGAAGAAGAACTTGCTGCAAATAGCCTCAACCCTTAGATTATCTGATGTGAAATCATCAATGAAGAAACAAGAAATATTCAACATTTTGGTGCAACATTTCATCGACGAAGATATCTTTGGGGAAGAAGCAGCAGAATTGATTAAAGATGTGGAAGTGCCTGCAACAGAGCTGCAAAGACTTGAGATGCAGCTACGCCAGAAACAACTAGAACTGGAAGAAAGAAGGTTGGAGAAAGAACTAGAAGAAAGAAGGTTGGAGAAAGAGAAAGACCTAGAAGAAAGAAGGTTGGAGATGGAAGAGAGAAGGTTGGAGAAGGAAGAAAGAAGGTTGGAGAAAGAGAAAGAACTATATGAAAAAAGGATGCAGTATGAACTGGAAATGAAGAAAACACCAGGTACTGTAACAAAATCTTTTGGACTTTCTGATCATTTTGATGTGGTAAAACACATCAGACTTGTTCCTCCTTTCCTAGAAAATGATGTAGACCAATACTTTACCCATTTTGAGAAAATTGCTGAAAATTTGAAATGGCCAAAAGAGCATTGGACAATGATGTTACAAAGTGTTCTTACTGGTAAAGCTAGGAAAATCTATAACCAGTTATCTGTCCAACAGTGTTCTGATTATGATTTTGTCAAATCTGCCATTCTGAAGGGTTATGAATTGGTCCCCGAGGCTTACAGGCAAAAATTTTGGAATTCTCGCAAGGAAGCCAGTCAAACTCATGTTGAATTTGGCAGGTTGAAGGAACAGTTGTTTGATCAGTTGTGTAATTCCATGAAAGTTGAGAAAGATTTTGACAGAATGAGGCAACTTATTCTGGTTGAGGAATTCAAAAGGTGTATCCAGCCTGATATCAAGACTTTCATTGAGGAGAAACAAGCCAATACTTTGCAAGATGTTTCCACCCTGGCTGATATTTATGCATTGACTCGTAAGTCTTCTTTTGTCCAAAAATCCACTTTTTCTAAAGTTCAAGGCAAGTCTCAGTCCAAGGCTTCTTCTATTAACACTTCTAATGATTCCAAGGCCACTTCTGAGAGGAAACCTTCCAGTGAGAAGCAATCCTCTGATTCTTTACCTTCAGTGTCTTGCCAATACTGCAAAAAGCAAGGTCACCTTATTTCTGAGTGTTATGCTCTCAAGAAAAAACAACAAGAAGAAACCAAGCCAACTGCTTTCACTTGGAGAGAATCTCTTGTATCAAAGGTCAGTTCACCTGATCTTCTACCCTCTGTGTCTGATTCTGTTATGGAGGGTTTTGAGCCATTCATCACCGATGGTTTTGTCTCACTTTCACATGATTTTTCCTCATCTGTTCCTGTTCGAATTCTAAGGGATACTGGGTCTTCCCAATCTCTTATTCTTGCAGATATTCTGCCTTTTTCGGACAAAACGTCTACTCAGGCTAATTTCCTTATTCAAGCAGTAGAATGTGGTTTTACAAGTGTACCTCTCCATAATGTTAATCTCAAATCAGACTTGGTCTCTGACTGTTGGCATGAGGTCTTCTCTTCCTTTCAAAGGTGTTCATTTGCTTCTTGGTAATGATCTTGCTGGGGATAAGGTTGTGCCCTACCCTGACACTCCTTTGAATGATCAAGAATCTGACTCTATAGAGGAGGAAATTCCAGACCTCTATCCTTCATGTGCAGTTACTCGTTCTATGGCCAAAAAGGCTATTCAAGATGATGCTGACCTGGACTTCAACCTGGCTGACACCTTCATTGGGCAGTCTTTTTCATCAGAACCTTCCAGTCCTGAGATGTCAGGGAAATCTTCAGGCTTGTCCTTGTCAGGTCATTCTAATGACATTCTGTCTCGGAAACAACTTATCCAGGAGCAACAACAGGCTTGTGATCTAGCGCATCTTCTACCACAGGCTGTAAGTAAACAAGAGGCTACTCAAGTTCCTGTCTGTTTTTACTATAAGAATGGTGTGCTTATGAGAAAGTGGCGTCCACCTGATGTTTCTGCAGATGAAGAGTGGATGATCACCCATCAAGTTGTTCTTCCAAAGTCTTATTGTCAAGAAACTCTTAGTCTGGCCCATGACAATCCTATGTCAGGTCATTTGGGTATCAAGAGGACCCTTCAACGTGTCAGGAATCATTTCTTCTGGCCTTCCATGAGGTCTGATGTACAGGAGTACTGAACATCCTGTCATCCTTGTCAAATGGTTGGGAAGCTGATCCAGAATATTCCAAAGGCTCGACTTAAGCCCATTCCCGCTTTTGAAGAACCTTTCAGTCGGATCATCATTGACTGTGTTCGACCATTGTCAAGACTAGATCTGGTTTAAGTAGTACCTACTGACTATCATGTGTGCTTCCACTCGGTTTCCTGAGGCAATCCCACTTCATAATATCAAGGCGAAGACTATCATCAAGGCTCTTACCAAGTTTTTCTGCTTTGTTGGTCTTCCTAAATCTATTCAGTCTGATCAAGGGTCAAATTTCATGTCTGGCATATTTCAACAAGTTATGCATGAGCTTGGTATTAAACAATACAGGTCATCAGCTTACCATCCTGAGAGTCAAGGTGCTTTGGAGAGGTTCCATCAAACCCTGAAGAACATGATAAGAACCTACTGCCTTGACACAGAGAAAGACTGGGATGAAGGTGTCCATCTTCTTCAGTTTGCGGCCCGTGCAGCTGTTCAGGAGTCTCTTGGGTTCAGTCCTTTTGAGCTTGTTTTTGGGCATACAGTCCGTGGACCTCTGAAGCTTCTGAAGGAAAAGTTGCTGGCGAAAGAGGATGTCCCAATGAACTTGCTTCAGTATGTCTCTGACTTCCGTAATCGTCTCTTTAAGGCTTGTGATTTTGCTAAGTCTAATCTCAAAGAGGCTCAGGGCAAAATGAAAGCCAGATATGACCTTCATTCCCAAGATAGAAGTTTTAAAGCTGGTGACAAAGTCCTGGCGCTTTTGCCAGTTCCTGAAAACCCTCTAAGAGCCCGATATTTTGGCCCTTACACTGTCCTCAAAAAGGTCAGTGATCTAAATTACGTAACTTTAACCCCTGGAAGGAGGAAACAAAAACAAATGTGTCACATCAACATGCTGAAAGAATACATTGACAGAGACACTCAGCAAAAGCCAGTCAATGTGGTAAATACAATTGAACTGGAAAATTCTGAAGAAGATTGTGACTGCCCCTTGGAAAATGAACCTGGTCCAGCCAAACTTGAAAATTCAGACATTCTTCAAAATATTGACAGCAAGTTGTCCCACCTGGACCCTTTTCAACAACAACAGCTAAAGCAGCTCATATTTGAATATAGTCACATATTCCCCAACGTTCCATCAAGGACTGATATGGTTTACCATGATGTCATCCTACAAGATAATGCCAAGCCTGTAAAACAGCATCCTTGCAGAATGAATCCAGATAAGCAGAAATACCTTAAACAAGAAGTCAAATACCTGCTTGAAAATGACTTTGTTGAACCAAGTAACAGTGACTGGAGTTCTCCATGCATCCTAGTTCCGAAACCCAATGGAACATATAGAATGGTGACAGACTACAGGAAAGCGAACACTCTATCAAACACGGACTCATATCCTATTCCCAGGATTGATGACTGCATTGACAAAGTTTGACAGTCAAAGTATGTCACCAAATTTGATCTCCTCAAGGGCTTCTGGCAGATCCCTCTAACAGACAGAGCAAAGGAGATCTCTGCTTTGGTCACACCAGATGGATTTGCCAGTACAAGGTGATGCCCTTTGGCATGAAAAATTCTCCAGCCACCTTCCAACGTCTGGTAAACAGCGTGATTGCTGGACTACCAGGATGTGAGGCCTACATTGATGACATCATCATCACCAGCGACAGCTTCCAACAGCACCTCACCTACATAAGAGACTTCTTTCAGAGAGTGAGTGATGCCAAGCTGACAATCAACCTTATTAAAAGTGACTTTTGTAAAGCTACAGTTGTTTACTTAGGTCATATTGTTGGACAGGGTCAAGTCAAATCAATTGATGCAAAAGTAAAAGTTATCACTAAATTTCCTGAACCCACAACTAAAAGACAACTAATGAGATTTCTAGGGATGGCTGGCTACTACAGAAAATTCTGTAAAAATTTCTCCATCATTTCTGAACTTTTGACAAATTTACTGAAGAAAAATGCAAAATTTG